TATGATCTACATATATTTGCGAATAAATAAGTCTGTAAAAATTGCATTTGTAATTCTAATAATTATGTCTTCCAGTACGAATTTCGGTTACGGCGTCCAATCTGAACGGAGATTAACCATTTGCTATGTCTATCTGTCCGGGCTAGTCTTCGGAATACCTATATTTTACCGAAAACAGTAATGGTCTTTTACTAACGCCCAATCCTATCTAAGCGAAGCAAGTTCTCATCGCTAGTTTGTAAATAAATACTAAAGCCAAGTATAATTGAACAATCAAACGAGCTTACCTGTAAGCGAAGTTCGATTAAGATTATACCTTGTTGTCTCTCCGAAGACGATGGAAATAATACTATATGTTAGTATCGCTTCTTATCTCGGTGGCGTTACATAAGTTAAAAGTAACTTTAAAATTTCTGAACGCATCCTCTAGTTGCACCTCATTCGCGCCTCAATCTGTCAACTCATTTTAGTTTAAAGCATAAGTCTGATTCTATTTGGGACTGAGCCTGGTCTCATAGGGGATGGGTGGGTTCCATCGTCTTCGGAGAGACAACAAGGTATAATCTCAATCGAACTTCGCTTACAGGTAAGCTCGTTTGATTGTTCAATTATAGCCTTGTTGTCTCTCCTCGACGATGGAAATAATACTATATGTTAGATGTTCAAAGTCTCAGAACAGAATCAGACTTTAATTATAATTAAATTGTAACAATAAAGGTTAAGAAGTTTTCTTATTAATAATTATTATAATTACAATTAGTCATCAATATTAATATTTTTAAAAACAGCATTAGCATAAATTGTGTCCTTATTGTTCAAAATAGGACGATTATAGAATCTAGCAAAACAAATTGAATTTTCAGTCCAACCAGCTGATTTTCTTATAATATCTATTGATACACCCGTATGGAATGCTGCTGAAGTAGAAGCATGCCTTGTGCTATGAGCAGAAAAAATGTTCACATCTATACCACTTTCTTTTAAAATGTCTTTTATCCATCTGCTGATTGTACTTACTGATACCCCTCTATAGGGTTTCTTAAATGAAATAAATAAATTTTTTATGTTGTCTCTTATTTGTTCAGTTAACTTCAAATAATTAATCACTGCTCTAGCAGGACAAACATCAGGTTTTAAATCAAAAAAAGTTAATACAAGCAATGGCTGCTGTCTGTAGGGGCCTGATGTCTTTAACAATTTGGAGATTGTAATACAAATTTTGTCATTCTCTATTTTTATTTTGTCAATTTCCACTGATGCTAAGGTTTGTGCTCTTTGTCCTGTTGCTAGAGCAAACAGCATTGCTGTTTTCTTTGTTTGGAATTTTACATCCTTTGTATCCATCTGATGAAGCTCAAGGTAATTGAACACTTCTGATACATTCCAAGTGAATTGATATTTGGGATTATTTGGTCTCAACCTATAGAACCCTTTAAATAATCTTTTTATTTGATCATTTATTCCAATATGAGAACCTATCAATAACGACAAGGCTGATCTTATGGAGTTAAGGCTTCCATAAGACATACCTTCATCAAACTTTACTGTGAGATAAGTTATAATTTGTGAAATATTGGCAGTATTTGTACTAATATTGTTAGATGAACAGTATATAAGCCAGTCCCTGAGGTAAGGTAAGTACTGCCTAAGTGTATTTTCTGATACTGAATTCAACATAATGTTGGTGGCTTCCTCACCAATGCCTGTGCTTAAAAATTTCTGGCGGAGAGCAGACCTGCCATCAAAGATAGGTTCTTGTGAAGAGAGTGCGGTGATCTGTAATTACACAGGGTAAGTAATTTTTTATTGGGTTGGAAAACAATAAAATCATTTACCAACAATTTTTTAAACAGTGGGAACCAGGGCTGCGTTGACCAGTAAGGTACAACAACTATGCCTTCCGCCTTGTCTAAAATTATTTTTTCTAAAGTTTTTAATACTAGTGAAAATGGTGGAAAAGCGTAGAAGAAAAGCTGGGACCAACATAATGTAAAAGCATCTACATTGATTGCATTAGGGTCTGGGTGCCACGACACATATTTTTTGCACCTAGCATTTGTTCGAGATGCAAACAAATCTATTTCAGGTGTACCGAAGGTTTGCACTATTTTCCTATAATACATCTGCCCTAGCTCCCACTCAGTGTGGCCAATATTCTTCCTTGATTGAAAATCAGCAGTGACATTATCTTTAGTGTTAATATATGATGCAAAAATCCAGAGGTTACTATCTTCACACCATTGCCAAATTTGCCTAGCAATATCATACAAGTGGGGGTATTGTATACCACCTAGCCTGTTTATATAAGCTATTGCAGTAGTATTATCTATTCGTAACAATATTTCAATATTTTTTAGATTCTTTGTGAAACTCTTTAGCCCGAAGAAAGCACCTTTTAATTCTAAAGTATTGATATGTAATTTTGATTCTTGTTCTGTCCAGGGCCCACTAGCTGTCTGTCCAGCACATGAGGCACCCCAACCCGTGTTGGAAGCATCAGTGTGTATTTCTAAAACAAAATCACTCTTTCTTATTGGGCTTGTAGAATATTTAACTTTTTTCAGCCCACCATTTCAAATCCTGTTTGCAATGGTTAGGTAGTGAAATTTGTGCCTCATAATTATTATTATATTTTAAAAGTGATAAGTATTTATGTCGCTCAAGCAATTTTGTATATAACATACCATATTTAATTGCTGGACAAACAGATACTAGTGTTCCTAACACCTGAGCTAAAAATCTTATAGAAAATAATGGTTTCTTACTTAATTTTTTGATCAAGCGAAGGCAATTTTCTCTTTTTTCTCTTGTTATAGAAATAGACATATTTTCTGTATTGAAAACTAGTCCTAAGAATTTGCACTGGTGTGAGGGGGTGAGACTACACTTATTAATATTGACTATAAATCCTAAATTAGTAAATAATTTTAGAGTTAACTGTATCTTTTCAACACATTCATTGTAATTACTACAAATAAGTATATAGTCATCTAAATATTGAACCAGGCGTAACCCATCTTCTCTTAACCTGGCATTGATTGGTTTTAAAATCTTTGTAAAAACATAAGGTGCTGTACAAAGGCCGAAGGGGAGTACATTAAACTGATAGAGTTTGTTGTTAAAATAAAAACGTAGGTATTTCCTATGATCTAACTTAATACTTATCATATAATATGCATCCTTAATATCAATTGTTGCCAAATAATCATCTTTGTTAATTAATTTTAACACTGTACGATAGTCCTCTAATTTGAAATGATCCATTCTAACAAATTTATTGAGTTCCTTTAGATTTAAAATAAATCTAAAGTCCCCGTTTGGTTTTCTAACTAAAAATATTGGTGAACAGAATTGGTCATGCACTGGTTCACAAGTCTCTATAGCCTGTATAGACAACAACTTATTAATTTCTATTTTTAATTGACTTAACTCAGTTAATGAAAAATTATTATTTAAGGGAAAATTATTTTGTATAGGTATGTGTTCAAATGGAATTGAATATCCCTTAACCCAATTGAGTATGACAGGTTCATTAGTCAATCTTTGCCAATTATTTATATAATATTGCAGTCTTCCTACCTGTGGTGTAGGAACCTCTAATATCGTCGAGGAGGCAGTGGTTTCTGTTGTTGTTGCTGCTGCTTGTTTTTGGGCTTGGTTACTCTCTTCCCCCCAGCCTGGTGCTCAACTGAGGAGGGCCCCGCCAGTTTAAAGTCTTTGTTGGCCCCTTAATTATATTAAACGCAAATGGAATTATAGGCAAGCATCGTTTCATTGAGCGCGTATTGAGTTTCAATACTGCAGCTTTCACTCGGCTACATGAGATTGCTTCCCAACTGAGAGGAATGAAACACTCGAAGCTTTATACTGCATCCCGAGTACTTTATTTCTATTTTAAAAGGATCATATTTATCTGTAGCTATCGATCCGTTCCGGTTTCTCGTGATTTTTTTTAATTTTAACAACAGCACTACCTACCGAGTTCAACTATTACTAAGAAATAAAAATTTTATCAAAATCTTTCAAGGCTTTAGGTGGACAAGAATAACGAACACACCGTGTTATTATATGTAAAAATAAAGACTAGCAATCCTGCCCCCGCTTCGCACGGGTGATTTCTAGTTGTCAATACCAGCGCTACCTACAGGATTCAGTTGTGAATCTAAATCATCCACTACACAAACGCACAAAAATATCATCAAAATCGATCCAACCGTTTAGGACTTCAGTGACAAGCACTTTACTTTTTTTTTATATTTTTACAAGCTTAACTCGAATTCTTACAAAGAAATTGTTTAAGTTTATGTTTTAAAACGTTTTAAAAACCAACTATCCACTATAATGGACCCAATTTTTTTCATTATATGATATAATGCAATCTTTAAACGATAACGGCATTTATACCACTGCCACAGTAGTAAACAGAAAAGATCTCCCTGAATTTTATTAAAAAAAAAAACCAATAAAGGCAAAAAATTAAAGCTTGATCGAGAAGAAATTAAGTGGCATATAAAGAAAAATGAAATTACGAAACTTTCAATAAAAAGCAAGAATAAGAAATTATTGTATAGGTTGTGTGTGTGTTTTTTGGACCATCAAGCTGCACAAGGTTGACTGTGCAGTTAGAGACTGTCAATCAGTACATAACCTTAATTCATATGTTGATTTTTGCAAACTGATTTGTGTAACACTGTTTTAAGTAATATTTCAGCTCGAATATCAATTATAATATTTGTGATAATGGAAATAACATCTCCGGCTAACAGTGCTAAATGGTAACTCAAAGGGTTTTTCTCAGTAATGTTTATTCTGTGCAAGTTTCTTGATAATTTATTCATACATTATTTTAATTTTTAGCTAAAAAAATAGGTTTTTCCTCAGCCGAAAAAGAACAACTCATAAGTTTGGTGAGTGAACGTTCTATTATTGAAAATAAAAAAACAAATGTCAGAAACATTGAGCTCAGAGAGCGGCATGGGACGAAATTGAAAATGCCAACAATGTACAAATACAGTACCTTTTGTGTTCAAGAGAACGGCATTACAGCTAAAGAGATGCTGGAAAAACATAAAAGTTGTCGTAAGAAGGAATTGTCAATGGAAGCTGGGAGTTTGATAAAGACTGGAGGTGGAGTTGGTGAAGCGGGCACTACAGAAAATGTCATAGATAGTATTTGCCCATACATAAATCTGACTGTTCCTGGAGTCATTGACTCAAACACAGAAGATAAATCCTTAGGTAAGAGATTCGTTACATATTAAGCATTAGTAAGGATGAAGCTTTATTCTTTGTTTTGTTTAACAACAGTATTTCTGGTCTTAATATGAGCTTAATTATAATTTTGTTCAGCATCCGATTCTGGTCGTAGAATTGGTGTCAATAGATAAGTTTGGCAGCCATAACCACTGTCGCCTAAAAGCAAGCCGTCAATTTCTCCTCCTTCCAGCTTTGCTTTTAATCTACTTGCTTGAAATATGCGATTATCATGGACTGAACCTGGTCTGTCAGCCACAATGTCATATATTTCTAAATTAGGGCCACACACAAGTTATGTGTTTATGGAGAAAAGTTTTTCCTGTTACGGAAAACTTCAGCAAAATTTCCTCCAGGGTTTTGTATAACAATATGTGTGCAATCTATGCATCCTCTTACTTCAGGAAACTGCGCAATCTGATAAAATTTTAGTTTTGTATATTCACTGTTTCTGGGACTTTTATGTACCGTTTTATTTTCAAACTAATTAAATAGGAAACTCTTTTAACGATTCTTGAAACGGTTGGTTGCCTAATAACTATATAACACTAATAAAATCACCGCTGATAATTTGAAAACTGGCTGAGGCATAAAATCTGAGTGCAATTGGCAACTGGTACACTGGGGGAATTGGAAGTCCTCTTTTTGTAAGTTTCTCAAGATTGAGAGAAATTAGCGGCATAAGTAAGTTTAATACTGTTTCTTTTCGAAACCTATATCGCTGTTTAAATTCCACTTCACTATAATATTCGAAAGGGTTCTGAAAATCCCTGATAACACGCCTTATTGTAACTCTTTCTTGGCAAGTCACTTGTTCTTATATAATTATCAAATTCTTCATCACTACCACTCATTTTTATTTAAACTTGGTAGTACTGAAATACACAAAAGACAAAAACGATATACTCTTGTACATATAACTTTATAATTTATGCTATATATAATGCTTATGCTTTATTATTTTGAGGTTATGAATTTGGCATTTCCGCCGACACTATGCGTTCGTTAAAGTTAATCGGTAACTTTAGCTAAGGGTGGCTAAGTAGTTGCATAGTGTCGTCCAACACTCAAGTGACGTTTATGAAACAAGATTTCGTCCACTGTGCGTTAAAACTTACTGTGCGTACGCATAGTATCGTTCTTTAATAGGCGTGTTAGTCATTTAGGCGAGCGAATAACGGCTGTGGAAAGCTGTATAAGGATAGGGAAGTGTATCTTCCAGGGTGATAATTTGAATCCACTCTCAGAAACAGATTGGATTCAAATTATCACCCTCTATCTGAATCCTTCCAGTATCTCAAAATATGGCTTTTGGAGGGAAGTTCAGCTTTGAAATGGAGAAGGCGAATAACTTGAGATCATCCTTATAAAAAGGTGGGTCACAAATGTGACTTCAATTTATTCGACTCCAGTCGTTCCCATCTTATGGAATTGCTTACCATCACTTGTGAGTTCAGTGATTTTATTAGAATGGAGCTGGGGACGGATAAGTGTGTGATCCTCCACGTCGAGAGGAATATGTTTGCTAATTTTGAGGGTATAGATTTTTATACCCATCAACATAAGGACCCTTTCTTAGACTAAAACATACCGATGCCTGGGTCACAGAACGTAGTTATCGATGAGGTGGATATGAAACAGTCAGTTTGCATTGTGCTTTATGTACGCTTGACAAAAGTGCTGAACAGTCTTATCGGGCGTTAATGAGAACAAGCATATAACGGTTGGGTTATGTCTGTCTTCATGTATACCTTTAGCATTCTCAAATAGAATCTGACCGAACTTAACCCTCTGTATAAAAATTCCGCACTGCTATAACGACAAAAACGAATTCTAAGGTTATTGGGTAAAATTAACCCAGATCCCTCCGTAGATTGATCTCTATCTGTTGGTAAAGTTGCATCACAATCAGTTCAGTCATTCCGAAGATAAGCATGAACAGACAGACAGAGAATCACATTCAGAATTTAAAAATGGTTATTATGTCTCAATATTACAGGCAGACGCCTTCATTTTTACGTATACTGTATACATACATATACTGAGAGACTGACGAGCAGACTTGCAAAAAAAATTCTGGCAACTAAGGATAGAGGAAGGACACATACCATTATCTCAACCACTATCACGAACAATGGGAGTAGTTCTACCATACCACAGAATAAATAATAGTACTATGTAACTCAGAATCACCAAACGGTATTCGTTGAAGGTCATATAGGTTTACGCACCAGTCTCGGCACATCTTGATGAGAAGGTGGAGGAAATGCATGAGGATATCTCCAGAGCCATGCATTCCTCCAAAATCCAATATACCGGTGTTGATAGGAGACTTCAAGGCAAAACCAGGCACAAGAGAAAGCGGTGAGCTGAAAGTAACGAAATTTTGGCATAGGGCAAGGGAACCCAAGGGGCCATCAGCCGGCCGTAGAAAGAGGGACTCTTTATGATGACCTCTTTCTTCAAAAAGAGGCCCCAAATAGAGTGGTTGCGACCAGATAACAACTGATCAATGATGTCTCAGTGATCGCGAGGGTGAAAACTGGCAGTGATTACCGAATGTTAAGAAGCACACTGAACCTAAACATTAAGTTAGAGAGGTCTTTCTTGAGGAGGAACTCTCCAACTTACACTTACTCTCCGTTCCCCTGGTGCCCATATCCAGAGTCCCGAAAACTTTCAACTTGAATTATGAAACCACTTTCAATGCCTAGAAGACTGCAATGCAGTGGACGATATGAATGATAAGCTCGTGAAAACTATCCATGCGGCCGGAGCTAAATTCTACAAGATGCGGCGTAAAAGAACATAAAAACTCTCCGATCACACCCTTAATCTCATGGCTGTTAGACGTCTATAATGAAACTGCAGTCTTCGACAGATTTGACAGCATACAGTTTATATTACGGTTGTATTTATATTACGGTAGTCTATAGCACGAAAGGGTCGGCTAGACCGGGGAAGGGCCATGCCTTCACATTATACCAGCGCAAAATAGCAGCTTGATGCTGCTGTGTTTCGTATGGTGAATGTAGAGAACCTGAGACTTGTTTTACTGGAATCGAGGCATACTATCTTAGTCCTTGCGGGTGACAATACATCTGCATTTTAATTCATGATCGGGGTTAGGTGTAGGTGTCTATGGGCCACGGCATCCATTTGGTCTGGACTTTCGGGTGGACTGTGTGCTCGTTTGTCACCCAAATTCTATAAAAAAATTGAACAGACAAATCTCCAAATGCATGCGGCGGGACTTACGCAACTTCCATACAGCAGAATTTGAAGCTCTGGTTCCATTCAATCTCTTCTTCAATACGAATTGAAGAAGCAATTTAGGGGAACTAGAGCTCCAAAAGTCTTTGCCATAGATATGTGGATGAGGATGGAATTTTAGCGGAGCTTCTGAAAGCGGTTGGAAAACCACTACTTGAGGTCTTTCAGAAGATCTTAATTCCTTCCTCCATGGTGACACTACTCCGAAGCCGTGGAGCAGAATTGCTGTGGTCTTGTTCTTCAAGAGAGTTTTGTCACCTTATAGCGCTCTCTTGAAGAACTACAGACCGATTTCCCTTCTGATCCGCGTCTACGTGCTGTTTTCGAGAGTCATTACGAAAACATCTCTTACACAGACTAGACGACTTCCACCCTCCCGAACAAGCTGGTTTCCGAGAAGGCCTTAGTACCATACTAAGACTACATACACACCCTTTGGCAAATTGTGCAGAAGACCGAAGAGTACAATCTGCCACTTTGCCTGGCGTATTTGGAGTATGAGATATCCTTCGATTCCGTCGAAATTTAATCGATGCTACAGTCACTTTAGTGATGCGAAGTTGACTGTCGATATATCGAAGTACTGAAGTGTTTGTGCAATAGGGCTACAATGACTATCCGTGTACATAACTAGAGTAAGAAACCTACCCAATAGCAGAGAGGTGTAAGACATGGCGATGTTATATACCCGAAATTTTTCACCGCTGCATTGGAAGACGTTTTTAAACTACTAGACTGGAAAGTATCAATGGCAAGTACATAACTCACCTTCAATTTGCTGACGATATAGTCCTTATGGCATAATCGCTGGAGGATCTAAGTACTATTGTAAATGAACTGAAGAAAAGCAGTATATAAATAGTGCCTTCCAACGGTCAGGTCTTAAGATGAACTTGGAGAAAACGTAGATTATGTGTAACGTCCATGCCAGACCTATTCCGGCAGTTGTTGGGAGCACTAAGCTCCTGGGACAAATAGTTCATCTAGGTAAGTCCAACTTCGGCCGAGAGGTCAATCAATGAATTCAACTCGACTGGGCAGCGTTCGGGGAATTACAACAAGTCTTCTCGTCAGGTATACCTCAAAACCCAAAAACTAGATTGTACAATCAATGCGTGTTGCCAGTGAAGACTTACATATCTGAGACGTGGTCCTTCATTGCTATCCGTATGAGGACACTGAAGGTCGCTCAGCGAACTATGAAGTGGGCTGCTCGGGGTTTCTCTGCGAGATAAACTTAGAAATGAGGAATTCCGCAGTAGAACCAGAGTGACCGATATAGCACAGCGGATTAGTAAGCTGAAGTGGCAATTAGTCGGCCATATAGCTCGAAGAACCTACATCCGATGGTGAAAAAAGGCAGCCTCGTACCGGTAGGCGAAGTGTAGGGCGACCCCTAACTAGGTGCAGTGACGACCGTACAACGATACGACGACCGACGATAGGACACGTAGGAAGTCGATGGATGTAGGTGGTTCAGAATCGTGCTTTGTGGCATTCCTATGAGGTAGACCTATGTTCAGCAGTGGATTTGTGAAGAGCTGCAATGATGATGATATAGATATGTACTTATAGATTACAAATAAGTGTAATATTGTGTACGTAATCTGAGCCAAAATAAATTGATACTTAATGATTTCTTATATCTACGCGAATACTATTTTTACTTTTATAAATTACCGTATTACAAATCACTGGCTGGTATGAATGGGTGATACCATTTACTAAACCCATA